CCATAAAAAATTAGGAAATAAATATAAATTATGCCTCTTTCATTCAACAATGCAGACAAATTATAACACGAAAACATAGATGTTTAGACTAAATAGCTTAAATCTCGTAACATTATACATTTATATATTTATTATTATTATTATATTGACCTTTCACTCATGCCTGGCTAACAATACGGAAGTTACAATGATGCAGCACAAGTGCACTCATGTTATTGTATCCAATAACATAAAACTGACCTTTGGTCTGTACTAAGTAACTTGTCTTGGCTGTGTTTTAGTGGACTAGTATTTTGTAAAATACAGTCACATTTCACTTATTATACATCATATATGTATAAAGATTATTGTTATTTAGAGATAAGTTCTTAAAATTATGTTTCTTAAAATGAACAGTAAATAAAGAAGTAAACCAAGCAATTATTTCTTCTAGTTACAACCTTTGTACTCAGTTGCTTGTTGATGTAGGTTACTATACCTTTAAAAATTTTGAACGTGTAGGATATGAAACAAAATAATTTTTTCAGGTTTTGTATATGCATTTGAATAACTAAAAAATCATAAATGACTACAACAGTACCATAGAATTCCACTATAATTTATCAAGCTTAGTAATTAAGATGTATTTTATTCAAAAAAATATAAAATTTTGGGCAGACTAAAAACACCTTACCTCCTTGAAGTATTGGTTCAGAAGAAATAATTGGTGTCTGAGTCCATTAGAATGGCTGAGTAAGCCATTAGGGGGACATTCTGAGCTTCTGATTGGTTATTCATGTCATACATAGAAGTAAGTGTATATAAAGGAGAATTTCTAAAAATGGAAAGAGGTGGGTGGAGTGACACTATGTTTGATTTATTACATGAGCAATATCTTAGCAAATAGAAAAGATAAGAGGTTCTTATTTTATAATGTAGCTTGTATTGTATATTGAAATTTTGATACATACAAAACTATAGACTTAGTATTTTGACTTCACAAACATCTAATTTGAACCAGTGCTGCATTCAACACACCATGTGACACATAAAAATTGATGTTTGGCTTTATTTTTTAATATTTATTTTTAAATTAAGAAATTGAGTAAAGTATAATACTAAAACTTGAATTATAATCTTCAGTTTGATACCAAACTTATTGACATAAATTCATGAAATAGTAGTTCAATGAAATTTTGAATGCAAGTCAACAAAGTGATGACATGGCCTTTCACCCATGAACCATATGGGAACGGGTTAAAGGAATTTTATTCACCCATTTTTATTAATAAGAATTTATTTTATTATCTACTGCTGTGTATTATCTGTTGGTAAACACATGAAATTGTGCCTTAGGTACTTGGTCACTTGACAGGATGCAATTAATGTTATAACTATTTGTGAAATTTCATTAAACTTTTTTGGTTATTGGGTTATTTAGGTATATTAATATTTATTACTGTTTGTACTTATATAACTTAAAACTATCTTGCACTTTCTATTTTTAGCACAATAGTGATGATGATGATGATGACACTGAAAGTGTATTGTCTTCTCAAACAAGTGAACTTGGTTCCCCTTTACCCGTTTTTTCTGCATCAACTGTACTTTTTCAGGAAAATATGGAGGAAGATTCAACTTGTGTGCAACTACCAGATAGTACAACAGATTTAAAATCAGAGGTATTTATTAAATTTCGTTATACATATAAATATGTATTTAATTGCTTTTGTGATTATACCAAACGATAAAAGACGTTAGGTAAGTTGGCCAAAAAAAGGGTTGTTTGGGCCTTATGCAAATATATCTTTTCTGATTTATCGTTTGGAACAAATCCATATCAATAATTCTGGTAGACTTATTACTTCTTCTTTCTCTCCTTCTTTTATCCATTTGGCAACTGCATGCTATGACTCATAGCATCTAACATCACTATCATTATATTTTCTTCCAAAAATAAAAATAGTGGATTAAATTGTTGCCCCCCAGTGGCACAGCGGTATGTCTGCAGACTTACAACGCTAGAAACCGGGTTTTGATACCCGGGGTGGGCAGAGCACAGATAGCTCTTTGTGTAGCTTTGTGCTTAAATACAAACAAACAGTTAAATTGTTTTAAATTTGACAAGAATGTTCCTAAAAGTATGTATTTTCAGAAAAATAAAATGTAGTTATTTACACTCAGACTCTGAATAGTTCACCTGCAAGGTGATTTTTATATGAGGTATAAAAAGGTATTTCTTATCTTACAGTTTTCACATTTCATTTGCATAACCTAAACGAATATCAAAAGTTTTTAAAGTTAAATGGTTATATTTTATTTTCCATTTTCTCTGCTATATCACTAACTCTAGCTATTATCATTAATGTACAGTGCAACAAACTGTCTAAAATTAAGAAATGGAAATATGTGTACATTTTGAGAAACCTTTTGGAACTTGTTTTTGTAATATGCATAATTTCACATCTTTATCTTTTCACTTATAGTTCATTTTTAATTTTCCTTTCCAATTCTTTGTCTTTTATTATTTATGCTGATACATCAGCTGATGCCTGCAGGATATTATGAAGTTATTTCAACAGAGATGCATTGCTTAAGCAAGATGGTGCTTATACACGAGCTTTCACAATTCAAGCAAGAACAAGTTAAATTTATAAAAAATCATTATAGCTTTCAATTATGCATTTTAAAACACAAATGATATATAATTAATTAAAACATAAAAGTAAAACTTATATCTTTTTGTCTATCATACTAATTCATATAAGATGAGAAAAACTGCCAAGGGCTATGGACACCTTGAGAGAACAATGGACTTAGCTTCATAGTTTCTTGTTACTTCAAGAGCAAAATCTACTCTTTTTATTGATTTTAAGTATGCTATTCAAGTTAAAACTTTTGCATAGCAACTTGGCTTTGACTTTGCAAGTGGGCATGGTTGACCTTAAACTAAGGAAGTATTTACAGTGGTTTCCTGGGGAAGACATTCTTAGAACGAGTTTGAGGAGTTTGAGACAGTAACGTAAAACGTGTATGATGAACTTTGGAAGTCTGAAGGAAACATCTACTGTGCACATACATTTATTTTTTTCTTTTCTATCAGCTCTTAAAGTTGAGAAATTGTAACCACGAGTGGATCATGTGACAGCAAAAACTCTAGTTTTTTAATAGTTGGTTTAGATGTCTTTTTGAAATAAAGGAATAAAAACTTGTATAGTATAAAACTTTGAATTATAACATATTTGATAATACTAATTTCATTAAAATTCATTGATAATAAATTGGTTGATTGAATTTTGAATGTAACTTGGTAACATTGTGAAATGCACTGAAGGGTATTTAAAAACTGTATCAGTTGTTAAAGGGTTATACACTGATCAAGAATTACTGCTCAGCCATCTAGTGTGTCAAGTGTAATTTCTATTATTGATATTGTCTTGACTAACAGTACACAGACTAGTGCTTTGCCATTGGTCAAAACAATTTTTGTGTGACTAGTTATTTTTATGTGGTATTTCCCATGTCAATTGGTTTCTACAAAGAGTGATAGGTAGATTCTCTTTGTAATGGAAGGATAGGCTGGATAAATCATGAAGTAAATTTCATTAAAGTGACTGAGTTTTAAGCTAAGCAATAGAGTGGTTATGAAGTGTGATGGAAAAATGGAAAATGAACAATCTTTTGTGTGTACTTGTATTTTACACTGGACTGGTGAATTGATCCGCGGTTGTACTTCCCTCAAGATATATTTCCATTGACCATTATATATGAGATACTGGACAGAACTGTGTGAATCCAATGCTCCTTAATTAACAGGAAGTATTAATTCTATTCAAGAGTGTCTATTAATATCCATGGTCATGCTCTTAATATGTATGGCTGTAATCTCTAGATACTATCTGCTTTGCTAGTGAAGGACATAACTGCCATTGACCTCCCACAATGTGCAGCATAACAGCAATATCTTTGTGGATAAAGCAGGTATCTCTAGAGAATAACAAAGGAACAATAGTAGCTAAAACAAAATCAAGTCAGTGGTTTCCTGAACTAACTATTTGTTTATGTACAAATTGTATAGATTCTGACTAAATAAAAAATTTTGAAACTAAAATGGAAAGTAAAACAAAAGGCATGGTATGTATTCCATTCCATATTTCATACATTCAGTCAAGTTGACCTGTTTAAATTAGAATAGCTAAGTTATGAATGCTTCCCTTCAAGTAATTATAAACTGTATTTGAATGTTAAGATCAGATGAAAGTATAATGAAATTAACTTTTCAGAATGCTTGAGATTAAGATGTTTGTATTACTACTAACAATGAACATAATGCCTACTTTATTATCAGTGTAAAATTTACAAGCAACAATAGCTCTAGTACTGGAGAGTGAGTGCCCTACTAATATTGGATTTTAGACATCATAAATTTGTTGATAATGTATAGTATTTTGGTACTGTAAAACTACAAGTGTATTAACCAGTCAACCCTGTTATTGCCAAAATTATTAACCCTGTCACTACAGGAAGGTGAAAGTGTGCATGTCATGACTTTTTTTAGAGAGTTAAATTCAAAATTTACTTAAAGTACTTGATTATCATGGTATGATAATAAATTTGCATCAAAACATTGTAATAAATCAAATTTTAATTTTTATACAAGTTTTAGGTTCATAATCTTATAAGGCAATATTTAAAAAAAAATTCTCAATTTCCCCTCATATGAGAATTGTGACCTTTGTTCTCTAGATATCCTCTCTTTTCTAATTTATTTACAACCCCTCAAAGAAGTATGAAATTTAATGTAAATTACTCATTATAATATCATCGCTCAGGCAAAGCATAATTTTTAAAGCATTCAATCTTATTTTGTTACAGAGCCATAAGCTAGAAAATCAGACCCCTCATACCACACCCACCTGTCACAACCTCTTATTCACAAATTGCCAGTGTTTCTCTCTAATGTTTAATACTATATTATTTATAACTAATAGAAAGCCATTTTAATATATCAAGTGACATATTATATTACATTGTTTTCTGTACCTAGAATTGTCTATTTATCTTCCAGTTCAAACATGATTCCCATGGGAAACACATCAATGAGCTTAGCTGAATTTTTAATGGCTCTTATTATATATAGTTGGAAAACCAGAAAAATTTATGAAAATTATAGAACATTGTATGCTTTTTACATGTTATTATCTTGTGTTCTTATATGCATTATTTAATTAAAGAAAAAATTACTTATTAGTATAAAAGAGCAGGCTTAAGACCCACATAAGTACTATATTTTTTGTTTCCATTTGAGCTCCTTATTTATTATTATAAAAGTAACTAAAATGTAAAAATTAGAAACTTACTAGGTTATATAAAGTAAGATTAAGTAGAATGAATAATAATAATAAAAATTTTTCATGGTGTATGCTTGTGAGCAACTTGCGAGTAGCTTGTGCATTATGTAATTCGAGCTACATGTTTGCTGAGTGACTTACGACTTGTATGGTGAGATTATTAGTTAGACATAGTTCAAAGGGCAATAAAACAATAAAATTTGAATAGAAACAAATTTATACCATTACGAATTTAAAGCTATTTAGGATAAACAACTGTAGTTTCCTGTCACAATTTGCACTCATTCTAGAAAGAAAAAAGGTAATTTAGATTTATTTCATATTTTCTTACGGTAGTTACAAGGGTGGTCAAATTACCAAATGCATATAGATTTGGGTAGAGAATATAACAGATAAATTTCAAAGTTTTACTTGAAAAAGCCTTTGAAGTTTATTGAGGACATTTTAGAGATTACACAAATGAAATTTGACAATTTTCAGATGAAGGAAAGTATTTTTAATCTTAACATGAAAATTGCTTTGCACTCAGAGCAGTCAAACCTTTTATTCCAAGGTTTTTTAGCAAAAATATTTAATCAAAAATTCTGATTTTTTATCTACAAAAGACTTAATGTTTAATGAAAGCTTGCAAAATTTTGTGATAATACACAAAACATATTAAAGGTTATAGTATGGAAACTAAAGGTCAATTTGGGGTCAGAAACTTGGCTGATTAAGCTGAACCTGTAGTGAGAGAGTTATATAATTCCCATACCAAGTTGAACAGAGCTCCACCAGTGGCAAACAAAGAGAACAATACCAAAATGTTCAGTTCTTCTAATTTCAATGGCTTGAAGCCTTGTAATTATCAGTAAATTGAAATCTTCACTTTCTGTTTGTAACAAATAATCCAATAGTGAGTGTCAGGGAGAATTTTTGACATTTTATGAAAGCAGGATGTTCTACGAAGGGCATGATGTGACTTTCAATTTATTGTTTATTAGCTGAGTTACCCGGCATTGCACGGTGAAAATTAGATTTGAAATGTATAGATCAATATTTTTTTCAGCAAATTATTCAATAAGTAAACAAAAGCTGTGATGCGAGAAATAAAATAGCATTTAATCAAACAGTGCTTTATTTGAAATTAGATTGTGTTTGAGCTTGTCTTGTTCTTTGAGCCTGAAGTCATACATCATATTACTCCTCTGTTTCTTGCTCTCTGTAAGTTATTTGTCTTAATTTTTGTGCTTGAAGTCTGGTTTGACGTTGTTCAGCAGTTTCTTGTTGTCTATATCCAGCTTGCCTTGATGATTCTGACTGAACTCTGGCCTTGTGCTGTTTCTTGCTGAGTAGCCTGCCTTTCAGCTTGAGCTCAAAGTCTAACTTTACGTTGTTCCAAAATCTCTTCCTGTATTTGAGCAGCCTGTCTTGCAGCTTGTGCTTGAAGTCTTTGATTGCATTCTTCTTCTGTTCCAGCTGCTCTTTGTGCTTGCAGTCATTTAGTGGCAGAAGACTTTCCATGGAAAGGGTGTTTCTTGGGTGGCATAATCACCTGTATCACTAAACAATAATTTGCAATTCACAAAGTTACTAAATCACTTATGAAATCACTTAGCACTTTTTAAAGAAAACTGTTTTTGGAAATACTGGATTGACAGCAAGGTGATCCGAGTGTCTCCCGCCGTAACACTTTCTGTGTGCAAAACATGCTTATGTTTGTATGCTTATTACAAAAAAATGGCACAATAATCGTTAATTGTCAGTTTTGTCATTTAAGTTCAGCCGTTTGGTTTCCTATAGCAAACAAAATAAACAAATAAACAGACTTCCTCTTTTATATATATAGATATCTCTATAAACCAAGAATCTTAGATGCTGTAAATTAACATTATAGCTAGGGAATGTATGACCTATAAGTGTGTAACCTTTCAGAAATATAGAAAAATCTTATAGGTGTAGAAAGAAAAACTGAGTTGAGCAGTTTTGACCAAAGAACTGTTGTGTAATATAGAAAAGTGAAGATTGAGAATTTATTTAAATATTTTGTATAACAGTATAATATTATATGTATAATATTAAATTTTGAATTATAAACTATGTTTTGATGCCAAGTTTATCGATGTGCATTGATATTAAATTTATTTAATTAAATTTTGAATATAACTCACTAAAATGTTAAAACATGCAAATTTTGAGGATAAAGTTAAAGACCTATTGTCAACAAGTTATTATTTTATTACAAGTGAAAATAAAAGTAACAAGGACATGTTTAATATTTTGACAGTTACATAGTTGATTTAGGTTATTAATACTTGAAATACATTAAAAGCCTTTAAAGAGTTACTATAACTCAGTAACACCTTATACCAAGTGACTTTTATGATGACCTAGTAATACCCTTTTTTACTACAGGAGTGTATTCAAATTTGGTTAGTGTAAAGTTATAAAGTACTTATGAGTCGAGTGATAGTGATGTGTTGGATGTAATAGATAGTAATTTTTAAAGAAGTCTACTCTCTTTAAGGTTTTTAAGAATTTTTGTGAAGAATACAATGCAGTGTATGTTTATCTGTTATGTAGTTTTTTTTATTGAATGATTAGTTAGAAAGTATGATGGCTTCAAAATTGTTTGTTTTTCTTTTATTTTTCCTCATTTACTCATAAGTTTTTGTACATGCTATATTTTAATTTTTTTCATATACATACACATATGTAAAAATATAAAACCATCTTTCACAGAAAAACTCAGAACTTTGTAAAGAAAACTTTTTTATGGAACAGTAAGATTATTTCACAGAAACTTTGAAAAAGATAATTTCAAAGAACATACTGCATGCTAAGTTTATCATTTTACAAGTGTTCAAATCCTTGCATTATATCTTTATTATCAAAGTAATAATTCTTAGTTATGATAAAATCAAAGAGAGAATAACAGAAACAAGGGTAGCAAGAAATATCAAGTTTTCAAAACATTTCAAAAACTGAACAAGATGTTATGCAGTAAAAACATTCTATTGTCTTTTAGCCTTAACTACCAAGAAATGGCTTTTAATTGATTATTTTATTGTTTTAGCACACAGAAACACACTAGTTTAAGCATAGCATGTTTTAGCAGTCTTTTTTTTTTTTGCTTTACCATTATTATTTTTAAAACTAACAACTAGAACTTTATTGAACATATGTCACAGAAAATTTAGTAGCATTATAATGCTAATCAGAAAGGGGTTAGATTCTAAAAAAACAGTGTAATTTTGATTGAAAGTACTCGTTTGTACAAATTCTCTTGAATATAAATTAATAAAATTTTAAAGAGACAAAAAAGTAGCTTATTAGCCCATCAAGGATGTCCCTTCCAGCTCCCAACTATAACCACCCATTTACGACTCATGTATTCATCCAATCTTTTCTTAAACTCAGTTAAATTTTCTGCCTCCACCACCTTTGAAGGCAGTTCATTCCAAAAGCCAACAACCCTGTTTGAAAAGTAATACTGTCTAAACTGTAGATGACTCCTATGCTACCAAAATTTGAATTTATGACTCCTTGTCCTATTGTTTTCACTGCTAAACACAAAATAAAACGTTTGATGGATCTATATTAGCAATACCCTTAAACACCGCAATCAAATCCTCTCTGACCCTTCTCCTCTCCAGAGAAAACAAGTTTAGAGATTTTAGTCTCTCGTCATAGGACAGTCTCACCATACCAGGTATCATCCTAGTGGTTCTTCTCTGAACCTTCTCCATCAATTCAATGTTCTTCTTGAGGAAGGGAGCCCAAAATTGTACAAAGCAATCTAAATGAGGCCTTACAAGTGATCTATA